ATCTATAAATAGCAACTTGTATAAATACAGCTGCCTATTAAAGGTGGCTGTATTTTTAATAAAACCTTGGGGGCCTTTCCCCTGGTGTTGTTCCTAAAAAAAAAACAACTAAAAATAGAGCTGTAGTTGGGTTTTAAGATACTTGGCTCAGAGACAGCTTTTGACATTTAACATTTTTCAAGTTCATGTAAAATGGTGTAGTTTGAAAAGAATAATAGTATCAATGTGCGTGTTAATGTTTTAAAAATCTTGTTTCTGTGTTTCTTTATCTATATATTATCTTTATCTATTTATTTCTGTTTTCTTGTGCTATATATTATATTGGTGAAGCTGTGCTTGCTCATTACTGCTTTGCAGTGCTACACAATGGTTGTACTTTGCTTCGCCATGTCATAATGCAAGTTTATGAGATGAGTTAACTAATTTGCTGACAGCGTTCAGTCAGCAGGGGTAAAATAGAGACAGAGTAAGTGCACTGAGCCACTTGGAGACTCTGTATTGGCTATTCTGCTAATCTCCATATACAATTTAAGAACAAAAACTTTGAAGCACAAGCTTGTAAAAATGTAAAAGTTGCATCAAAAAATATTTTGATACATTCCACAATAACAATTCACAATACATAAATTGCAACACTGAAAGTACAGTGCATGGCGTAATTACTACGCACAGTGGCGTAGTGGTTAGCGCTTCTGCCTTGCAGCACTGGGGTCCCTGGTTCGAATCCCGGCTAGAGTCACTATCTGCAAGGAGTTTGCATGTTCTCCCTGTGCTTGCGTGGGTTTCCTCCTACACTCCAAAGACACGCTGGAAGGTTAATTGTCTCCTCTCTAATTTTATGCATGTGAGATAGGAACCTTAGATTATAAGCTTGAGGGTAGGCACTGATGTGAATGTGTAACTATGTAAAGTGCTGCATAAATTGTCGGCGCTATACAAATAAATAAATAAATATTTCACCACTTTTTCATGGAAAATATACTTTCTGACATCTTTATCTATTTATAAAACCGCATGGGGTAGTTCCTCTATGAAGGAGTCACTGGCCAATATTGTTTTTCAGTTTTGCAGCACTTTCGCAATCAGTCTTCACACCACAACTTTTTATATCAGATAGCTACAAATTAGTGAAGCAAGGTGTCAATTGACCTATTATTTTTAAAACAAAAGGGAAACAGGTGACAAAAATCACTTGTGTGGCTGATAATAGTGAAAGCTCTATCAGCAACAGATGCTTCCTTGTGCATCTCTGTCTGGCATCCAAATGTACTTGACCTCTCTTAGTAAGGTTTTCACGCCACCCATGCTGAATTATCTTTTCATGTTCAATGTCACATTTACTAAAAAGACCTTGCTTATGTGAACCGGCCCTGTAAATTCATGATTTGTGTTCCAAGAATCAGCAGTATCATAGTTGGCTTGTCTTTTGTGAATCCAATGTACAAATCAGCATTTTAAAATTAACCCAAATGTCAAGGTTAGGAGACTATAATGGCATAGAATGCACCTGCAGGTGCTTGATGGTCCATTTAGCAGTTCTACCCTATGGCTTCCTGGGGACACTTAAAGTGACGCTAAACTCAGGAGACTCAAGAGTTAAACATTCAAGCAGGTTAAAATGTGCATACCATGCACCCCCCCTCGCAGATTTAGTGACAATAAACTCAAGAGTTAAATCTTAAAAATGCATTCAAGTACCTTAACTAACCATATCAGTTTAGCTTATTTGTGTATCACTCAGCTGTAGATCCTCAAATCATCTCTGAATTTGTGCTAACACTAATTCCTTCTGGGGGGTTGCTACTTTTGTTTCTCACGGTCCCTGTGAGTGCAGTAGCCACTGCATCAAGCTCACTCCCGTGATGGAATACATTCTTAATACAAATGAGTAAACGAAATGTGAGATCGTAGTTCATCTCGGGAGAGAGCCTGGAGTGGCGGCTGCTTTACAACGTACACAGGGACTATGGAGAACAAAAGTAGCCACCCTCCAGAATGAAGGACAGTATCAGCACCAGAGGATTTAAGGATCTAAAGCTGAATGATACACAAATAAGCTAAATTTCTTTTATTAGTTAAGGTACCTGAATGCATTTTTAAGAATTAACTCCCAAGTTTAGTACCACTTTAATATGGGGGTGGGCATGGTATGCAAATTTTAACCTGCTTTCATGGTTGACAACTTTGTTCTGCTTTTCCTGCCTACTACTACTAGCTATACCATAACCTGGATAAATGAGGACTTTCACAGACATGTTAATGACACATATGATCTTGCCTGATATTGTCTGTCATATTGTTTGTACCAGTCTATAAATTCTTCAGTCTCCTTGTTCTGTTCTATTTTTGGCTTTGTCTGTTCCTGGTCTTTTGGCACTATGCTTCTTGTGTGCCCATTGGTTAACTAACTGATGAACAGTGACTACATTCCTCATAGTTCTTTGATTGGCCACAATTGTCTTTAAAACCAACTTCTTTCAACATTTCACACACAATTCTCTGTAAAACCAACTTGGAAAACTTCAGTTATGTTGCCTCTAAAGAATTAATAGTTAAAATATACATAAAATACTAGATAACATGTGGTTAAAAATAATGTTTAAATAAAAATGTGATATACAATGTTACAATCATAATGATAATATTTGCCAGTCT